TGCTTCTTATCCGATGCTCTACTCCTCTGCCCTGGAGGACTACAGTGAAAGGTCAAACAGGCATGCTTGTCTGTCCAGCTGAAGCAATATGGAGCAACCAATACCCTGGGGGCCCTCAACCTTGTGGGGCACCACGACAGTCTGCCCCCCCCATCTGCACCACTGCTTGCAGTTCCCATCTCTTCTGTCACTGCACTGAGCAAGAGCAGAGCACAAGAGAATCCATGCCAGATCAAACCAAGTGATCTCCTACTGCAGGGGCATGTTTCCCAGACTGACTACCCAGGTGCTTTCTGGAAGCCCATGAGAAGAGCATGGAGACAACAGCCTTCTCCAACTGTTGCTCCCACTTTCTATTTTACCTCTTTGTAGTTCTCATTACAACTGCAGGGCAGTTTTGTTTAGTCATAACTGGTGTTCTTGCTGTCCTCCAATGTTACTTTATGGTCAGAATCAATGGGCTGAAGTGCACCCACTCCTTGGACCAGAGTCAGTGTGTACAGTGAAAGCAAACAGAGATAAAAGATAGAAGATGCACTAATACTGCAGTTCCCAGTGTATGCAAATAGGCCTCTTCAGGATGTATGTCTATTGGATACAGAAAATGTGAGTCTTTTCTCCAGCCTTTCCCACCCCGATTTTCATGTGAATTTTATGACAGGTGACAGGGCGTTTACACACCAATCTCTTTTTGTATGTCTAGAGCTGTACAGGTTGTGTTTAAAATTTAATCCTTTCTCCGCTACTGCTGTCTACCACTACCCCAGCTATTTATACCATCTGCGGGAAGAAAATTATAGGTACCTGAGATTTTTCATTGGCTTGTGACAGGGGGGCATGTTTTTCAGCAGGAAGAAGGCAAGGAGAATTAGAGTCCTTCTAGCTTCACAACATTCTTCTTGAAAAAACCAGTTTCACGCTGCAACTAGAAAAGAAAAACTCTTTTTGAATTAACACAGAAGACCTCCCTTGGAAAAGGCGATATACACCTATTTGCTCTTATTGTTCTTCTGATCTTACTGCCTTTGATATGAGACTATGTACTACCAGCTGAGCCATATTCATATGGGGTCACAGCTCAATGGTAGAGTAACCACTTGGGATGCAGAAGGTCCCAGGTTCAATCCCTGTTATGTCCAGTTAAAAGAGTCAAGTAATAGATGATGTGAAAGACCTCAGCCTCAGACCCTGGAGAGTCACTGCCAGTCTGAATAATTAGTACTAGTCTTGATGAACCAATGGTCTAATTCAGTGTAAGGCAGCTTCATATGTTGCATTATACCAGCCCTCAGAAGATTTTGTTCTTGGCATAAGATAGCTCACTGTCACACTGTTTGAGAATTCCTTTATTAACACACAGAAGACTGCACTCAGGAAGAAACCAAATGGAACATGAATGAGAACAAAGGCCAAGTGCAAGTGTGAACATCTTACTTTTCAATAGAAAGTTTCATGTTGAAAAGTTCCACAAAAATTAAGCTTGTCTACTGATTCTATAACATATGCTAAGTTACTATTATGGTTAAGCCTAGCCATGAAGCACCAGGTGAAGGGGGAGGGGGGGAACCACTTCCAACCCACCCTACATAAGCCCAGGTAGAGTGTACACTTTCTTATTTCCCTGGTATAAAGGCTGACTGTATAGCTCAGTTTCCCTGGCACTGAAGTAGAACATCTTTATATAAAAATTCCCAACAGGACTATCCTTTATCATAATACCCTAGAATCTCAAGCAGAGGGCAGAATGGTTAGAAATGAATTCTAGATAGGCTGCATCCTGTTCCAACAGGCTTTTTCTTAAATTGGATTAGGACATGGCATTGGCTTTTATTCTGATGGGCAATAAATTGCCTCTCAGAAGACCTAGCAAAGAGACAAGACTATTTGGTTTTTAAAGTTGGTCTTATAGCGGATGGCATTTTCCAAGCACATCAGATACACTATTCCCCCTTTGGGAGAGATACTACTATTAGCCACTTTTGAGGGCACAAGGGTAGTGGAGCTGATACACAGTCAACATATATTACTTTGCAGCAGGGAATCTTTCTTTCCTACTTGCGTGGGCTTTGGTGAGAGAGATTGTTATCACACCAGAGACTGGCTGAGCTTGGAGCACAAGAACAATAGCCTACCAGGACTCTGGAAGTAACCAATCAAGTAGTAATGTTATGTAAATAGCCTATCATTGTGAGTGGTGTGTGTTTGGGTGTGGCAATTGCATGCTATTTAACAGAGCTGCAGCTCTGGGGTCTTGTCTTGCTCTTGCTGAAATCACAAATAAAGTTAAGCTGATCACTAGACTCGAGCCTGCTCATCCATAGAACCCAGTATTTAACAGAGATCCTGCCGGGGTCTATATAATTCTTAAGAAAGCTGTGATTGATTACAGACTTACAGTACAATGTTTATTCAGAAGCAAGTCCCACTTTATTCAATGGGGCTTACTCCCAGGGAAGTATGCATAGGATTGCAGCCATAGTATCTCAACCTCTGTTCACAAGTTATAGTGAACACATAGACAATCCATAGTATATACTTGATTTCTCTTTGTATGTTTGGCAATTCTCATGTTACAGTTAATGAACATACATCTGAATATATGATACAAACCCCATATTTATCCAGGTACTGGTCCCGGTTTCATTGTTAATGTGCGTTGGTTTTTCAAAGAGATTTACACAGGGCTCTACTGGTAGCAGGAGCTCCTTTGCATATTAGGCCACACAGCCCTAGTGTAGCCAATCCTCCAAGAGCTTACAGTAGCCCCAATAAGATGAGCTCTGTAAGCTCTTGGAGGATTGGCTACACTAGGGCTGTGTGGCCTAATATGCAAAGGAGCTCCTGCTACCAGAGCCCTGGATGTACACATGTACAGGCAGGATGCCTGTAAGATGTGAACAGGACTTTTGAAGAACCGAGGCAGGGAATTATATTCCACTGGGAGCACTTATAGAGTCTCATTGATACTTGAATCTCAGTGAGAAAGGAGCACTGTAAATTAAGTAATTAAATTATGTTTAAGCCAGCTTTGTTGCTAGTGTGACATTATTGTGATGCTATGCCAGCACTGGAGGTGGATAGTGACCTGAGGAGGCTTAACATGCTAAATTCTGCTTTTCTCCCAGCATGCCCTCTAGTGTTGCCTGTATCTCCCCCCCCCCCATGCCAGCATGGCATTGGTGAGGAGCTACTCCAGCACAGGGGCTTAGTTTCAGTTTCCCCCTTTTTCAGAATGGCTTTACGACTGCATCCAAGATCCCATGTTTTCATCAATATGCTTTTGATAGATAAAACATTTTCTTTGACGTGTCACCTCACTATTAACAACCTCCTCTCAAGTATTACAGCAACCTATTCATTTTAAACCATGCAGCTATTTTAGTCAGGATTTGACTAAGAACTGCAGGTTTGATTGATGCTCCAACACCACAGAAACAGCAGGTGACATGTGAAACATAGTATTTCTATCTTTAAACGTATTTGCATATCTTTTATACTGCTGTTGATCATCGTGCACACTTCCAGTTACAGCTAGAAGTGGCAACTGTGAATTATATTTTAATTCCTTAAATTCATTTACATCTGCTAGAAAAGAAAATGTTTTGCACACACTAATATACAGATGTCCACAGATGAACAGCAATAAATATTGACTCTGTTACCAACCTGTGATTTGTGCTGAATCCTTCCTCTAAAACAGTTTCACTAAAGCACACAGAACTAGCCACAGAAGCTAGCCATTGACAGGTTTAAAGATGATCAAGTAAGATGCCCTACCCGATCTATAAAAAATTAAACATTAAAAATTAAGGTTGCATTCTTATGACACAGACTACTTGCAGCTTGCTTGAAAGTAAACTGTTGTGTACCATGTTGCACATCATTTAACATACAAAATGGGCTTCAGACTGAATGCATTATTATCAATACAGCACCCAATACGGGACACAGCAGATTTTATTGTGAAGAATTTCCCCAAACAAGTTGCCAAATCATTATCTAAGGGACTGGATCATGGAATTAAAAAGTCACAAACAAGGTTGCATAATTGGGAAGTATGAGATTCAGATGACACAACTGTGGTGAAGAAAAAAGCCTCCCTTTTTGCTGTTACTCTGCCACCTTATAGGCAAATGGATTCTATGGGATATTTTTGTCTAATTCTCAAACCACTTCCCCCAATGGTTCTCAAGTCATCTCCTCACGCTTTTCAGCTGAACAGGAGGTCGCCAAGGCTTTCATGACAAAATAGGGACCGACCAATTTACAAAGCTTAGGGTTGCCAAGTCTGGGTTGTGAAATTCCTGGAGATTAGCTGGGTGAAACCTGGGGAGGGTGGAGTTTGAGGGGGGACCTCAGTGGCATAGAATCTATCTTCCAAAGTAGCCATGTTCCCCAAGAAAACTAATCTCTGTTGCAATTCCAGGAATTCTCCACCCACCACCTGGAGATTTAAATTTTGTTGGTCTTGAACGCGCCACCAGACTCAAACTTCTACAGGGCTACCCACCTGAACCATAAGGGCTTTGTACGAATTATAAGACGCTAATGTGTGTAAAACACTTCGAACAGTAAAAGCCTTCTATAAACGCTAAGCGTTATTATTACGAGCTAAGGTTTTCGCTAACACTCAGCCAACCAGGAACCTTTTTGCCCTCCCTTTGTTTCCACCACAAACTAAGCCAAGTACACTATATTGCCCGGCCCCAGCATGCATCCGTTAATTGCAGGCAAGCGCTGCCTCGTTTCTGTAGGCTGCACTGCATGCTGGGTAAGGTAGTCTCAAATGGCTGGTCGGCCCGCTAACGTAAGAAGGAGGCGTGGTTTGGATTTTGGAAGGCGCGCAACTTGAAAGGGTTTTATCGGTTTCCCGCGCTGCTCTTGCGGCTTTTACTAAGTGGATGGGGCTGGCCGTGCAGGAGCAGCTGCTGATTGACGGATCGGAGTCCCCCCCCCCCACACACACACACACCAGAAGGTAGAGCGGCGCGGTCAGTGAGGGACGGAACGGTTGGGGCTGGATGGATCGCTCCTTTCCCCCTCTTTTAGAGCTGGCTGAAATGTTCCGAACCAGGTGGGGAAACTCTTAGGCTACAGGGCTTAAGCGGTCGAAGTGGGGGATGCCGCGTGTATTTGTTTTGCACTCCACTGATTATGGGTTCATTTAGCGGGTTCTGCTGCCAGTGGAGCGGTCTGTGCAGGTGCTTTTTTTGAATGATGACCCGCACACAAAGGCGTTGGGTTTCATACACATGCCATCTCTCTCTCTCCCCCCCCCCCCCGCTTTATCAGTCGTGTCCGGCTGAATTCGTGCTTGCTTCTGTATGCTCGCAACTGGAAGCATAAAACGGAACAGACCGTGCTGCCCAATTCTAGCCACGTTTACGGCCACTCTCGCTGTAATCTTTTGGTCTTTTGTGGATCAAAAACTGGCAAATGAATAGGAAACGGAGTGTGAGTCTAAATGGGCAATTTTCTCAGTGGAGGGTGGTAAGCAGTGGGGTAACACAGGGATCAGTACTCGGTCCAATGCTTTTTAACTTGTTCATTAATGATTTGGAGTTGGGAGTAAGCAGTGAAATGGCTAAATTTGCAAATGACACTAAGTTGTTCAGGGTGGTGAGACCCAGGGAGGATTGTGAGGCATTCCAAATGGATCTGTCGAGGATGGGCGAGTGGGCGTCAACATGGCAAATGGGGTTCAATGTGGCCAAGTGCAAAGTGATGCACATTGGAGCAAAAACTCCTAACTATAAATACACGTTGATGGGGTCTGAACTAGCAGAGACTAACCAAGAGAATATCTTGGAGTCGTAGTAGATAACTCAATGAAAATGTCTAGACAGTGTGCAAATGCAGTAAAAAAGGCCAACGCTATGCTCGGGATTATTAGGAAGGGAATTGAAAACAAATCAGCCAGTATCATAATGACCCTGTATAACTTAATGGTGCAACCTCATTTGGAGTACTGGGTACAGTTCTGGTCACCACACCTCAGAAAGGATATTATAGCTTTGGAAAAAGTGCAGAAAAGGGCAACTAGAATGATAAAAGGGTTGGAACACTTTCCCTATGAAGAAAGATTAAAATGCTTGGGGCTCTTTAGCTTGGAAAAATGACAGTTGAGGGGTGACATGATCAAGATTCATAAGATTATGCATGGGATAGAGCAGGTTGAGAAAGAAGTACTTTTCTCCCTTTCTTACCATACAAAAACTCGTGGGCACTCAATGAAATTGCTGAGCAGTTGGATTAGAACGGATAAAAGGGAGTACTTCTTCACCCAAAGAGTGATTAACACATGGAATTCACTGCCACAGGAGGTGGTGGTGGCTACAAGCATGGACGACTTCAAGATAAGCATATAGAGCAGAAGTCCATCAGTAGCTATTAGCCACAAGGTATAGATAGGAACTCTCGGTCTGGGACAAGTGATGCTCTGTATCAGTGATGGCGAACCTTTTAGAGACTGGGTGCCCAACCTGCGACCCAAAACCCACTTATTTATTGCAAAGTGCCAACACGGCAATTTAACCTGAATACTTAGGTTTTACTTTAGAAAAAACAACTCATACATTAACTTAAAATGATTCAAACAAAGTAAGGAAAGCAATCCCAAATGCTTTCATTTACTTAAAATTATTTGGCAGAGAATTCGACACTTTAATGATGGTCTGGGCCTGGCTGGGGTGATGGCACGCGTGCTCACAGAGAGGGCTCTGAGTGCCACCTCTGGCACCTGTGCCATAGGTTCGCCTCCACTGCACTGTATTCTTGGTGCTGGGGGGGGGGCAACAATGGGAGTTCTAGTGTCCTGGCCCCACTGCTGGACCTCCCAATGGCACCTGGTATTTTTGGCCACTGTGTGACAGAGTGGTGGACTGGATGGGCCTTTGGCCTGATCCAGCATTGGCTTCTCTTATGTTCTCTGAAGGAACCGTGATTAGAAGTGCGACCTAAGGCTGCAATCCTACCTCAGGCAAAGTCTAGTGGTATTTTGCACATGTTGTTGAGCAGTACTGGAGCGTTAAAAGCTTGAACTTTCCGTGCACAGTTGTACTGAAATCATGGGGGTGAGTGGGACGGATCCGTCTAGTTGCCACTTGTCAAATACTCGTTCCAGTTCTGTTGTTTAAAATGCTTGATGAGGATGCAAATCCGCTTCATGTTTTATCTTTTTGTGGATCTGTCTTCCAAAACTGGAGATCCTCTTCTTAGGATTTTGGGACTTGGGTTGTCACGTCAGAATTGCTAGACTTTCAGTCACCACTTCCCGTATGCAGAACCAATTCCACTGAGATGTTATTGGTAATATTTTACCAGTTCACCTTACGTAGCAACTGGCTAGTCTTGAACCATATGGAGAGATAACAAAGATGTGAGCTGGAGATTTTCTCCTCTGAACCATCAAGGACTATGTATTTATTTATTGAATTGGTGAGATGACTAACAACAATAAAATATTTTTGAACTAGAACGATAACCAATGAGCACAGTATAGCAACCAAAAATTAAAACAGTGACAAGTTCCTTAAAGGATAGTTAGCCTATTCCTAAAACTTACTAAAACCACGTAGCAGCAAAACAGATGAAAACAACATGTAGGCACTTTATTATATTTATTTATTTATTTTTGTGATTTTTATTCCACCCTCCCCAAAGTGGGCTCAGGGCAGATCACAAGAAGCCACGTCCAAGACTCGATGCAATACAATCACATTAAAATTAGTTAAGACAATAAACAATAAAAATTCATACAGGTAGGCAAGAGTTTCATGTCTGTTAGAGCCACAGGTGGAATCAAATGGGCCCTTTCAGCAGAATGAGAGCCAGACCAGGGAGGCCAACTAAGATAGACACCTGCTGCCTCGACCGAAGGCCTGGTGGAACAGCTCCATTTTGCAGGCACTGTGGGACGATAGTGGTCCCACGGGCCTCTGATATCCAGTGGTAGCTGATTTAAACCAATAAAATGCATAGTTAGTATTGAATCACATTGGCAGGCAACCCACATGTAAGCAGTCATATATGGAGCCTGTAAAACACATGCAATCCACTCTCTCTGTGTGTGTTTGTATACAGTGGATGCTAATTTCCACTCAAAATGGCTTTCCAGATATGATTTGAGTTGAAACTGGAGTGGAATCTTAACTAGCTCCTTGGTGATGTGTGTGTGCGCGCGCTCATGTACATTCAAGGAAGTCACCATCACATGACTTCTTTGTGTGTCTTTTCCTTGTATGTGCAGTCATCATATGTGACTGATTACATGTAGGGTGCATACTGTTATGTGCAAATGCGTTTTTGGTAAGTTTTTTATAACTTTATGGTGCTTCTGGAAAAAAGGGCCCATACAAGATTAATGGAGTAAAACTGGCAGTCAGCTGTTGTTTCCACATTCTATCCCCTTCTGATAAGGCCCTGTTCATCAGGCTCAGCCATTTTGCATCAAGTGGGATGCCCTGACCTGGATAGCCCAGACTAGCAGAGTTGGCCTTGGTTCATATTTGGATAGGAGCCCACGAAGGAAGTCCAAAATTGCTATGCAGAAGCAGGCAATGGCAAACCTCCTCTGAACGTCTCTTGCCTTGACAACACTGTAACAACTGCTGCAACTTGATGGCACTTTCCACCATCACCAAAAGGGGGATAATGTAGTAATCTGGAGATAGTTATTAGGGGTTTAGCGGTGCCTCAACTAGCATCTAAATCTGCAGGTGGCTTCAGATGGTTAATTGTATAATATGAGGCCTTGTTTCATCAATTTATCATGACTGTATAGGTATTGTGTGCATTGCACTACTTATACCTGTGGGGGGGGGGGGTTCTTCCCTCCTCTGTTTCACATCATGTCTGCAGAAGGATTACTGTATTAACAATTGTATTTTATCTTGGTCTGTGTTTCTGTTTTAGTTTGTTTTTAAAGCAGAACCATGGGAATCCCGGGTTTGCTCCAGTTCATCAAAGAAGCCGCAGACCCTACCCACATAAAGAAGTATAAGGGGCAAGTTGTTGCTGTTGATACTTACTGCTGGCTGCACAAAGGAGCTTACGCATGTGCTGAGAAGTTAGCCAGAGCGGAACCCACAGATCAGTACGTTTTAAAGCAATTTGATTGACCAAATTTGGGGGGGGGGGGTCTAAGTAGGGGATACGGCATAGCCTATTTGCACCAGAACAGGTGAATCATCTTTGTGGAATTTTCTGTGGCTAATAGGTTGTGAATTGTAGTCTGCAGTTTTGAATGCAAGTGGTATTCCAGTGTTAAGTGGAAAGCAAGTGGTATTCAAGGGGAAAATGTTTTCATATATTATGCTGAGTTCTGGGGAAATTCTGCAAAGTCCTCATTCTCTGACAATAAAAAAAATGGAAAACAGGATATACCTAATATGCTGTCAAATGCACAAAGTAAATCAGGAGGAAAAGTATCTTTGTGGCTGCCTTTCAAACGGTTTTCAAATGTTTTGATCTTGTAATAGGCTGCTTAAATCATATTGACAACAGAAGCATCCTGTACACAGGTTTAATGCCAAAAATCAGTAGATCTCAAAAAGAGAGGGAAATTTTCCATTTCAAGTTCATAAATAAACTGAAACAAAAACAGCAGGTGCATTCCTTAGGGTATGGAGTGTGACTTGGAATGTCATAAAGCTTAATTTAGGAAGCTCAATTGATGTGTCCTTCATTGCATTTTGTTGGCTAGAGTAGCTGTAACTTCTGCTGATCCACAAGGTTAGGATACTGAGGTGATGTGCTGGTATTGCAAAGTCTCAGGGAAATTCTGTGTGAACTTCATTGGAGCTGAATTTCCTCTAGTAACTTACATTTCAATAAGTGTAAGATAAACACTTTGTGCTGGACATGTGACAATATACTTCTTTTTACAGATATGTTATTTACTGTATGAAACTGGTGGATATGCTTCTGTCATTTGGGGTCAAACCAGTTCTAGTATTTGATGGATGTACCCTGCCTTCCAAAATGGAAGTTGAAAAGTCAAGAAGAGAGTAAGTTATTTAAAAAAACCCAGTCTTATAGTATGGTATAATGTGCTTTTCTCTACAAAATTGGCCAGTATTGACTTGTCAGGATGTAAAGGCCCTGAAGCCAGTCTGAGGTGGGCACCTTGCTGAAACTAAGTACCTCTGGGTCTGGTCTGTGCGTGGGAGACGACCCCCCCCCCCGAACCCAAAGTATTCTGGCTTGAGTTCTTTGATGGAAGATCAGCAGGACACAGATGTGTGTTAAGAGATTGCACATCTTATATAAAGAAAGGCATGTGTCTTTGTGTTACTATTTTTCAGTTATTTGTTTCTGCAAAAAAATAATAAATGACATCTTGATCTTTTCAATGAGAGCAGAACATGCTATGTTATGTGGCATCTAATCTACATCTCTGTTATACTGCTGAAGAATGTCCTTGTTGACTTCATTTTTCAACTCCAGTTTGTTGAACATTTCATAATAAACACACACATGAAGTTCCTAAGGTATTCTTCTAATCTTCAGGGTGTTTTGGACTTTCCTTTTTGCTATAGCTCCTTATATCCCTGTTTTGAAAAAGCCACTTTAGAAAGTCACTGAACCTTCTGGAGCATCCTCCAGTATACTGCAAGTAGCTGTGTTTGAAAGTTGGGGCATTCCAAAACACATAGGCACAAAATATGGAAATACTGGCTTCCTCTTAGAATCATAGAATGTTAGAGTTGGAAGGGACCTTGCAGGTCATCTAGTCCAACCCCCTGCACTCTGCAGGAGCATAGCTGAAAGATAGCCCTTCTATTCTAGTGATGAGGTGTATTAATTCTAGTATTCCCATTCTAGTGGTACTTAAACTGCTGAGAGGGTTAATGCCGCTAAATCTAAAATTATTTAAATGGCCCCAATATATCTAATATTGAGCACGATCACACGCATAATTAGCCGCGCCATAGGCGCAAATGCTGGACAGATTTAAAGGGCATAATCAGACATGAACATCTGGGAAGTGCCCTGCACCCGTTGACAACCCGTTTTGCTCCGCCGCAGAAGCGGAGGAAAAAGACACCAGGGAAAGTCCAGTAGCAAACGGGTTGCTACAGGCCACGGACGGACTTTCCCCTGTCTGATCGCTTCAGCGTGCTCTCATGGCGTCGGGATGGTCTGATCAGGCCATCCCGACTCCATGCCGTTGTTTTTTCCCCCTTCTCAGTATGCACATCATCGCACACTCCATAGGGAGCCCTCAGTGCTGAGATGTGATACATCGATTCCCCGTTTAAGCGCATCGGGAACAAATGGCAAAAAAAACCCCAACCCAACACTCCCACGGTTGCGTCTGATCACACAGTGGCGGGCTGCCCCCACAGCTTCAAAGGACTGTGTGATCACACAACTGTGGGTCAATTTCCTCTGGAGGAAATAGCCTCACTTCCCCCCACGTTATCTCGTGTGTGTGACCACTACCATTGTTAGCATTGCTTTCTAATGAGTTTAGGACTGGAGATCCTAATCCATAAATTTTTACCACCTTTAAATCAAAAAAGTCTTGTATAAGTTAGCATACTCAGTCACCGGTCCTAATGGACTAATAATGGATCTAACCTACCTTTGTTTGCATTACCTTTTATTTCCATCTTTCTAATTCATGTGTGCAAAAGCTTGTCGGGACAGGGAAATGTGTCTTTTCGTGCACATTTGCAATTCTAATGGCGCTCATTTGTTCACGTCAAGGAAACGGCAAGCAAATCTTCTGAAAGGGAAGCAGCTGCTCCGGGAGGGGAAACTATCAGAAGCCAGAGAACGTTTTGCACGTAGCATTAATGTCACGCACGCTATGGCCTGTGAAGTTATTAAAGTAAGTAGTAGGCTTTAAGCAGTTTGTTACTGTCTTCTACCTTTTATATTTCTTAGTGGAATAGTTTTCTTTCCTGAAATACTGTAGTGTGTTATTCAACTAGGGTGCAGGCTCAGACAACCCCTTTTGACCATCCTTTTGATGCAGGTAGTCCAGCTGGCTTTGGTCAGAAACTAGGCTTTCTCAGAGGAGACCTCCTATGGTGGAATGGCCCCTGATGCTTGAACCTCCAGGAATTTGTAAAGCAAAGGCTGTTCCAGAGGTATTTTTGCTGATGGCTGCTAGACTGAGCAATTATTAAACCGACCTGCTATTAATTATTGTACCCGTTGATTTATAAGACCGAAATTGAATGGTTTTTTGAAGTAGTAAGGGGGTAAAAAAGTAGATACTGTTTTGCTTATATTCTGTGTTATTAGCAGCCCTGAGCATATGGGGAGTACAGGATATAAATACTGTAAATAAGTAATTAAAAACTAAGAAGAGCCCTGCTGAATCAGAATAGTGGTTCTAGTCCAGCATCCTGTTTTACACAGTGGCAAACCAGTTCTGGAGGCAAAAGATTAAGAAAAAAATAATGGTGCAGTGGAAAGAAATTTTATTCCAATATCTTAATAACCCCTGTGTGTTTTGCACTGAATATAGGGGGTATTAACATAGTGGAATCAAATTGTCTTCCCACTGCACCATTGTGCTTTCTTTGTCTCTTTTCTCCAGTTGGTGTGGCCATTTGTTCTCTTCCAATTCTGGAGGACCAATAAACACAGCATAGAAGGCAAGCTTACCACTGGGGTGAGAACTGCACCAAAGTGTAATTCTTTGGATGAGACTGTCCTGTGCCAAAAACAATTTGGAAAACTGTACGTACACATGAAGCTGCCTTATACTGAATCAGACCATTAATCCATCAAGGTCAGTATTGTCTACTCAGACTGACAGCTGCTGTCCAGGATCTTGGGAAGAGGTCTTTCACATCACCTCCTGCCAGATCCTTTAACTGGAGATGTCAAGTATTGAACCTGGGACCTTTTGCATGCCAAGCAGATGCTCTACCATTAAGCCACGCCTACTCCTCCTGTGAGTAGATGGGGTCAGAGTGGCAACTTAGGGCTGTGTGGGGAGGAACTAGAGAATGTTTGAGACTAGAGCAAGTGGAAGTACAAGCTGTTGAGTCACTGGAGGAGATGGCACATTCTAACGATGTTGCTATGCTGTTACCTGCCACAGTTCCGCTAGAAATTTTTGGAAAGAAGGATTGTGAGAAAATGGTTGTGATGGCAGTTTTCCTAAGTTTCTGATCTAAGAATCAGACACGAGGTGCTCCGCTGACAGAGCATAAGATGAGGGCACACCGCTGGGGAGCATGGCTCAGCTGCTGTAATAAAATGGGCTTTGTGTGGCATGACTTGCTTCTTGCACAACCATTGCCAGTTTGTTAGACTGTACTGGACTACGTGCCTGACCGATCTGAGCAGGTATATGATAGTTTCATTTGTTCATAAGATGCTTGCATGAATTTTTAAAACAATAATGTCTATATACCATCAATCTTTGGGGTGGTGGTGTTTGTTTCCGTGCAGGCTGCTCGGGCAAAAGGAATAGACTGCATTGTTGCTCCGTACGAAGCTGATGCTCAACTAGCTTACCTCAACAAGACGGGCATAGTCCAAGCTATAATTACAGAGGATTCAGATCTTCTTGCCTTTGGGTGTAAAAAGGTAGGGGAAAATGGCATACTTATTTTATGCAGAAGGCAGTGTCGGGGCTTTATAGCTAAAGGCCAGGGTAAATAGAAAATGCTCTAGGATGGTTAGAGTGGCTAATCTCCTGTGGTTTGAGTTCCAAGTATGTTCTGCAGAATGTATCTCTGGCTTCTTAGAATCTTTGGTCTGCTCATTTTTCGTTGCCACCCAGTCTTACACAGAGTGTTGGCAGGTGAGGGAGGGTGTGGTGCAGTATCTGGCAATGCCAGGACTTACCTATGATTTTTCTTGCATTTGAAGGTGTTTCTGAAACTTGACAAGTTTGGAAATGGCTTGGAAGTTGACCAGGCTCGGCTAGGAATGTGCAAACAGCTTGGCGATGTGTTTACAGAAGAGAAATTCCGCTACATGTGTATTTTGTCTGGCTGTGACTACCTTCCATCAATTCATGGTATTGGGTTAAGCAAGGCGTGCAAGTTACTAAAAATAGCCAACAATCCTGATATCATAAAGGTAATATGGTGTTCATGGAATATTGAATCAAATTTGTATTTCCCTAAACCTCCCTAGAAAATGGAGGACCTTATTTGGGTGGGAAAGAGCCACAAAAATATTTTAAATAAATAATATATATCTTGATAGTGATTGCTTTAGGGAGGTACTAATGTCCACGATTTGTATACCGAACGTCATATCAAAAATACTTTTGCTGTTTGCTTGGATTTCTGTTTTTGTGATTTGGTTACTGAGCAATAGTGTTTTTTGTGAGAAGAAGAGAAGAGATTGGGTTTATACCCCGCCCTTCACTTGGAGTCTCAGAGCGGCTTACAAACTCCTTTCCCTTCCCCTCCCCACAACAGTCACCCTGTGAGGTGGGTGGGGCTGAGAGAACTCTGACACAAACTGCTCTTTTTCAAGGACAGCTGTGCCAGAGCTTGTGACTGACCCAAGGTCACCATCAGCAGGTGCAAGTGGAGGAGTGGGGAATCAAACCCGGTTCTCCCAGATTAGAGTCTGCGCACTTAACCACTACACCAAACTGGCTCTCTGAGCCCTAGATTCGCCTCCTGGATTAGTCAGATGCCTTCATATCTGACAAAGGGAGCTCTGACTCTCAAAAGCTCATGCCCCAAAAATCTTGTTGGTCTTTAGGGTGCCGTGGGATTCAAATCTGACTCTTCTACTGCAGACCAGCATGGCTACCCTCTGAAACTGTCTTTGTGAGCCCTAAACGTTGATGTCGCGTGTTGCTTCAAGTGTCCTTCTAACCCACGTGCAGACCAGAATTAGGTTGTCCCTTCTGTTTCCCTCTGCCTTCTTGCCATTTGGGAGGACTACAAATGAGCTTAATGGAAGTGCTAAAACATTTGCTACTTATCTGGAGAATGACTGTATATTGGTGTTCCTTGGAAGGAAAAAAAAGATAATGAACTTACATGCTGGGTTTTAAAACAGTAAGAGAAATGTGCCAGCTAACTTAAGTGACATGTATCCTTGTCTGTTTCTCTGCTAGGTCATTGGGAGAATAGGGCAGTACCTGAAGATGAATATATCCGTACCCAAAGAATACATAGAAGGATTTATTCGTGCTAATAATACTTTTCTCTATCAGTTGGTTTTTGACCCTGTCAGAAGGAAACTCGTTCCTTTGAATGCTTACAGTGATGATGTTGATCCAGAAATGCTACTGTATGCTGGGAAGTATCCTTTCCTCGCTGAAAAATCAATAGTACAATTGAAGTCTTTCGTGGAATCGAGACAAAATTAAGCACTTCTAAGGCGCTGTCTTGGAGAAACGTCCTTTGAAGGAAGCTCCATTGAACTCTGTGGGGAATTTTTTGAATAAGCACTAAAATAAAGGTATAAGCACTGTTCATTTGGAGGCTAAAAATATGCTCATGACTGAGAAAAGGGAATCTACATGGACTCATGTCCAATGTTCCCTCTAAGCTGTGGAGTCTTATGAGCAAAAATTCTGCTTTGTGAGCTACTGGCATTAAAGTTGTGAGCAATTAATTTGGCCACTGTATAAATCAGTTTGCTCTGGAGCCATCCTTCCTGAGTGAAGACAAAAATGTGTGAGCTAGAGGCTAAAGAACTGTGAGCTAGCTCACACTAACTCAGCTTAGAGGGAACACTGCTCATGTCCACTCTTCATACCTTAAGTAGGGGATGATAAAGGTCTGTTTTTTTAAAAACAAGTAAAGCTGAGCCCATGAGAGGAGTAAAGCCCTGTCTTCTCCTGCTCTGTAGCTTGCTGGCCTCTGTTACGTGCAGCATTATTCTTGCAGCCCGGCTCACAGCCAGTATCAACCAAGTGGGGAGAAAAATGCCTGTAGCAACAGAGTCCAGCAAAATAAAGCATGGGAGTGGGGCACAACTTAGTTCCCCTTGCTTGTACCTTTGGTGTCCTTTTAAAAAAAAAAATAGACCTCCCTCATCCTTTGCTTTAAATATACATGGATTCCCCCCTGCCTCCCCAGCAGCATTTACTTTGGCTCTCAGAATATTTTTAGGTCAATATATTTATGTCCTTGCAAAGAACTGCCCCTTCATGTTTTTGTAAATATAAATTACTGGGTCAGTTGGTCATCTGATCTCTTGCTTTCATGATGACACTTGTACAATACTCAGTGGTTAACATCTAGGCTAAAATTGTTTTCACTGTACCCCCGTGACTTAGCAGAATGTCAACGCTGTTCAGAGTTTCCACCTTCCCATGTGAAATGTTCCAACAGTCTGTGCATTAAGGATCTGAAATCTTTTAAATCATGTGTTATGGGAAATTTATTTTTGTTCCTGATTTTTTCAGATTGAATTTGGCATAGTTCCACCCACCCTAGGATGGTGCTAAGCTAAGCCTGAGGTGAACTTCAGCACCTTTCCAGTAACTCAGGCAACTGCAGAATCATTGCTCATTGGTACAAAAGGTGGTTCCTTAATCTTACTGAATTGTCCAGTACTGTATTTGATTCTGATGTACAGATTGAATCTCTTCATTAAAGTGCTGTTGGAAGTGATTAGGTGCTACTTTATCTTTGTATGGCAAAGACTTTATATATACCCCTCCTCATAGATAGTTGTTTATCCCTAATTTAGGACCTACTTGTGAACTGTAATGAAATGAGAAAAATTGCAAGGTTTGGGCAGGTACCAGAGTATGTTGAATGTTAAGAGAAAGCGCCGTCTCCTCTGGAAGCTGTTCTTTAAATGCAGCTAGCTCTTCAGGTGAAGTTCGTTCAGATACGCTTTGAGTTTAATTCCTGGGCTACCTTCCCATCTGCTTGCTTGATGGGAGGCTCTGCCTCCAAACAAAGTTGCTTTGCTCTGTCTCCCTGTGCCAAGAGATGGGACCTAATTGATGCATTTCCTTTCTGATGCTTCACATAGCTGTGTTGAGATTTAAGAATCTTCATTGAAAATGGCATCCTCCTAACATTGAAAGAGGGGAATGCCAATAGTAGAACTGTGTTTTTCTCTTAGCTCTTAACTTAGACACGTTGGCGATAGCACTGCTTTTCAAATTGCACTTGGAAATAAAGACCTCAATACACTGAAACAAATCGATGACTACAACCCTGATGTTTCAAAGGTAACATTTAAGTTTTCTAAATACATGTGCTGAATTTCCCTTGAGGTTGCATGAGTGTGAGACGTTCTGAATTATCTTGATATTGAAGTAACTTCAAACACACAGCACTTGGTTCACGTGGATGTTATACATCGTATGCTAGAAGGCAGAAGTATACCAACCTTGAAGGCAGTTGTATTAGATTGGTAGGGAGATTTGATCTTAGGGCTTTTTTTCAGTATTTTGGTACGTTCTGGGGCGCTTCATGGAACCACAAGTACATGCTCGTGTGCTACACTAGGAACTGATTACTAGAGACTCAGTTACACTTGAGCCCAAAGTTGTGCTGCGTAGTCTGAAAGAAGTAGAAGAGTGTGTGTTATGCAGTCAACACTCATCTATCAATAGTTCCTTTTGTTTCCTCCATGGGGAAAAGAGCAGCTGTCTCCCGAAGCTAACTGTTTGCCTGGAAGCTAAAGCACCCCCCTGGATTTCCTTGGAGATTGAGGGGGAAATCTGCTGAGTCATAAGAGAGGCAGTTGAAGGTAGAGAGATGAAGAACTGGAGGTCATAGGCAGGGCTGTAATAAGTGCAGCCGAGCTACTGAGAGCTTTAAAGAAAGGCAGAGTGTTTATACTGTGTGTTGAAAGGAATGGCTAGGCAGGGAAGTGATTTAAAGAGGTGTCAAGTGGTCAGAAGGAAAAGAAAGACAAAATGTTTTGGCACTGGAGTTTCGGTTAAAAGTGAGAACTGAGATGTAAAAGAGGAAGGCCAGAGAAGAAGGTTGCAGTGGAGGCCAGGCTGGGAGATAACCAGGGGAATGAGGAGAATGCTAGCTGGGGGGGAATTTTGAAGGGACCTAGCTCAAGCCTTGCTTTTTGCTGGTAAATTTAAGGATGCAAGCTAAAGTCTAACTTGTGTTGCGCAAAGAAATTCCTGATGCAGTTGTGGAGTGGATAGAAAAAACCACGTCCTCCAAAATAGCAAGAAGGCATCATTGAGGAAGGGGCTGTAGAGCATCTGCCTTGCGTGCTGAAGGTCTCAATTTTAGTACCCAGCCTCTCCTGTTAAAAGGGTCAAGTAGTAGGTGATGTGAGGGACCCCCTGCCTGGGCCCCTGGAAAGCCACTGCCTGTTAGAATAGACAAGACATTGATAGACCAATGCTTTGATTCCGTACAAGGTAGCTGCATGTGTGTTTGGGTGCTGAGGCCACTGATGATTTGGGGTGGTTTTTAGAATATGGTCAAAGGCATTGGATCCAGCAGTAATTGCCGCTAACAAGAGTGGATTGCCATCAACGGAATCAGACTTTCTTGCCTGCCCTACTGCAGCCTGAAATGCTCCCTGAAATACTGTTGCTGGGGGGGATCATCTCCCCTTCATTAGCAGCAATCTGCTTCTGAATCAAACCCAGTGTCTTAAATCCCAGTTACATCTAGGAAGGAACACAGAACGCCGTGTGTGTAAAGTGCCGTCAGGTTGCAGCTGACGTATGGTGACCCCCCCATCAAGGGACTTTCGAGGCAAGTGAGAAGCAGAGGTGGTTTGCCAGTGCCCTCCTCTGCAGAGTCTTCATTGGTGGCCTCCTGTCCAAGTACCAACCCTGCTTAGCTTCCGAGACCTGGTGGGACTGGGTTATACTGTATCACCTCCCCCTCCCCCTCAGTGAATTCAGTCCTTCTCTATGGATTTGATTATGTCTTGGAAAAAGCAACTTGTATGCTCTTACATTTTGAAAGTTTGATTACCAAACTACTTCAGGGTGGCTGAGTACTAATCAGACCTGGATAAAAACACTACTTTCACCACTTCTTCATGTGTAATGTTTCAAAAAGAGGCAGAACTTACATAGTTTTCAATAGCTTACATTGATACATCTTTTGTACTAAATACAGTTCCATATCTATAGAGCGGCACTCTTTTCCTTCAGTAGGCCTTCTCTTTTGTTTCAACCTTAGTAATTCTTCAGTACATTTTGCTCTTTGTCTTCATGTGTTATAGTCTGTTCAACCAAGAAGTTGCAGCTGGGACGACAAACCTCTTGGTGAAAAGCCATCCAATTTCAGGAGCATTTGGAGCAGGGACTACAAGCCTGGTTTTGCTGCTGAGGTGGTGCCAGATTCTGCACCACTGCTGGAGAGGCCCCCAACCAAAGGCACAGAGCGGCTGATTAATACAAAGGGACTGAAACTTCCCCATAAAGCCATGTTGGCAAAAAGGCAAAGGCATGGTATGATTGCTAAATCGCTGGAATGTGAAAAGAAAAATGCAAGCCCTATTCCAAAGCAGGCTTCAGAGATGTTTTTCCCATAGCATGGTTTTTTCCCCCCTGTGTATTCCTTTTGACAATTGTATTGGAAGAATAGGTGACACAATAGTAAAGTTATCTAGCTGGCACGAGGAAAATTTAAGACATTTTCATTTTGCGCACCATGTATTTTATTTCATGCCCATGAACTGTGTACTTACAAAGAATGCTAACAGAGCCGAGTGTTCTATCAGGCAACTGGCAGACACAGTGGCATACAAAGGGGTGTTTTTCCGATTGCACTGTTTTATCTGCCTTCTTCTCTAAGTTTCTAGTCTTGCCCCTTTATCACTAATCTTAAACTTGTGCACTCTGGCCTTCAACAGACGTCTTTTGCATTAAGCTCCCTGAAATCAATGCAGTAAGTGTGCTGATGGTTCAGCTGCTAGCCTGAAATTGTAAAATCACATCATTGCTACTGAAGCTGGTAGAACCTCTAGAGGATGCATGCTGTAGAAGTTGGTGTGGCATTATTTATTGCAGTAGTTACACACCCGGCTGTCTGCTGTAAAATGGCTTGAGATGATGAAACCTTTGTCTGCCTGCCAGTCTGTCTGCTACTACAAGCCAGTATATTGATTTAATATTTGGCAGCTTTGTGGTTTGTTTCTTCTGTTACAACCAACACGGCAAACATTGCTTATAATGCAATCCTGTGTGCTGACTTCAGAGGGGATAACCGCCCAGGTAAGTGTACACAGGATTGCAGCCTTGTTGTGTCTTTGCCAGTCACTAAATGTTGCTAAAAATTCCTTTCTGTATTTCAGTTTTGACTAAAATATCATTGTTTATATCCAGAGGAACAATCAGATGGCGATCTCTTGAGCCAGTATTCCTTTTCAAACTCAAAAAAGCCTAAGACAGAAAAGGGTGAAGACATCAAGCGTCGTGCAGTTGACAGTGCAGTGATTCCAGTCCCTGTTTCAGTGGACCCTTCCAGTAACAAAGAAACGTCAAACTCCCGGCCTCGTCTTAGAAATAAATTTGCCTTTCTGCGGAAGAAGGAGGAGGGAAGTCATGTAGTTGTCGTTCCAGGGACCAGAAGCAGGTGTGTTTGCTGGAATTGTGTCAAAGTGATACTCTTAAGGAAAGTATCACAGAGTAGTAGTGCAGTATCCAGAAGCAGAATATAGTTAAACTAACCTCACTGATCAGTATTGCACAGAATGTTAGAAGATGGGAGCAATAAATTACGTTGCCTTCCAAGATGCTCTGTTCACTGAGGCATACCACTCTTTTGCAAATCAATTTATACATATTTGGACCGGAAATATCCAGTGTACATCTCTGTTAACATCTAGCTGCTTCTTTCAACCAAAAATGTGTCTGGGGCTTCAGAAGGTTTCTTGCTGTTCATTTTTGCATCTCCTTCTCTTGCACTACTTACAGTAGTATCTGCCAATCTCCATATGACATTGTGCTGCATTAGCATATATCTTGTAGTTATCAGTGTAAATTTTGTGATTGAGGAGAGTGAGAGGAAGGTCTCCTAAATGCAGCTTTGTGAAGGAAGGTGATGAGTCTTCAAGCATGCCCATCAGCAAAAAGATTTTTGTGCCAGTGTTTTTTGCTATAAAATTGTCCTGCATATTCAGCCTAGGGATATATGCGTTAGCCATTGTGCTGAGAGTATTTATTTATTTCATTAGGGAAAAAATGAAGCTAGGAAATGTATCTCCCATCCTCTGACACCCCCCGACACCAAACTTCCAACCTAACTTTGTGATAAAGTAGAATTTCTGCCTTAATGAGGTCAGTGATGCCTGTAGTGCCTCAACCACAAATGCATTCTCTTCCTATCATGGCACCAACAATGTTCTAACTAGGAAGGGCAGAGATTATGAACAGCCCTGTTTTGGTAAGAGCATTTCAAACCACTGTTTCCTATGTTCTTCCACTGTGTTAGGTTCTTTTGCAGTATCATGGATGCACCTGATGATATACCAAAGGATGAAGTCCACCAGCCATCCCAGAAAAGCGAGGTGGATTGTCAGACTATGAAAGCGGAAAGTGCAGAAGCAAAAGATTGCAGTTCTATCTCCCTGGGGACTGTAGAAACTGGAAGAGCTGACTCACCTTCACTTAGGGCAGCGCAAACAAGCTGTTTCAGTTGGTCTAGAAGCTTTGCGGAAAGATCTGGAACGCCCAGCCCAACTCAAAATGTAGCACTGCTGAAGCAGTTTCACCGACATACATCTGGCAAGACTGCATCTCAGGACTGTAAGATGTCTGGATCACAGATGCTAAGCTCAACATTTGGTGGTAAAGAGTCTGATGAAGAGTCTTCATTATTAAAAGGACTGGGGTGTTCATCTGAACAGAAGTCAAATGAGCTTTCCCAAAGCAATCTGGACTGTCTAGAAAATTCTCCAGTGCCCAGTGAAAAAACTACTGATGCCAAAGTAAGATCCGTACCATGTGTGTGGACCAAAGCAGTTGATATAATTCCCATCTCTCTCAAGGGGTTATCTAGTGTTCGCCTTACTTATTACAATAGTTATACTATAGAATAACTTCTGGTGATAAACCTTTGATCTGCCTGTCTGTCAACTGCTATTAGCTCATATATTAATTTAATATTCAGTATCTTAGCACTTGTTGCTTCTACTTTGACATGGAATCAAATTAAGACCAATATATCTATGTTCTTTTTTTGGCAGATCTGAAAGTTACTTTTAGAAGCATTGCCAAGTGAATAAAGTAGTTCCAGATTTGGAATTATAGATATGGTACATTTATGGTTGTATTGGTTATCTATCATCTATCTATCTTCAGGCACAGTACTTGAAACAAGCATTGTATTTATAACGTTTATTACAGACAAGCTAATTTTTGCTTTCGATATAAGGGAATACTGTTTTCTTTTTTAAAGGAATCTGCCTGTAGTTCAGAACCAGACTGTAATCTGAAGTGTCAGATCTCTCCATTCTTTGAGTCATTACATACTGAGAAGGATACAGTCTTCGGAACTCTGGTACGTCTCTCTTTAATCTGTGTGTCATATTCTGATACTATATTGTGTCTTTCAGGCGATAATGAGATTATCAATTTTTAGGACTAGGAGCCTCTTCTAGCATTTCCACTCTGTTTGTATGGACTTCTTACCTGTTATCTCAAAGGTTTTAGGTGCAACATGTCCTTAATCTCATTTATGCAAGAATAAGCCTGTAATGTAAATAAGGTAAAAGGTTGCTCAGAGGTTTTAGCCTATTCTCCCCTTTCCCATGCAAACCTGGTACTTCTGTGTATGTATAAGTGCCATCAAGTCACAGCTGATTTCTGGCGACCCTGTATGGTTTTCAAGGCAAGAGACAAACAAAGGTGGTTTGCCATTGCCTTCCTCTGCATAGCAATCGTGGACTTCCTTGGTGGTCTCCCATCTGATTACAAACCACGGTCGGCCCTGATTCGCTTCTGAGATCTGACAAGATTGGGCTAGCCTAAATCTGAAACTAAACTATTGTACTCACTGGGTAATGCTTCTAAAAATAACTTTCAGGATCTGCCAAAAAAGACAAGAAGAATGTGGATGTGTTGGTTTTAATTTGATTCCTTGTTAAAGTAGAAGGAACAAAGTAGAAAGTAGTCGAAATAGAAGGTATTTCTAGCAATTCACAAAATGGGCACAACACATTGTGCCACAAGAACTATGGTAGTTTCTTGAAGCAGACAAAGTGAGACTCTCTCCATCTGATTTAGCTCTCTGGCTGGCTTAGTAATGTTGACATTTGGTTCTAGGCTACAATATAGGCCATTATTAATATAGGTTTTGGCTGAAAACTACTCAAAAGGAAAATGACCCTGAACATAAGACAACCTCCTAAAAATAAAGAGAATGTTATATACAGTTTGGTGTACTGGTTAAGTGCGCGGACTCTAATCTGGGAGAACCGGGTTTGATTCCCCACTCCTCCACTTGCACCTGGCTGGATGACCTTGGGCAAGCCGTAGTTCTGATAAGAGCTGTTCTTGAAAAACAGCAGTTTCTGTCAGAGCTCTCTCAGCCCCACCTACCTCACAGGGTAGTTGTGGGGAGGGGAAGGGGAAGGAGTTTGTAAGCCACTCAGAGACACCTTTGGGTAGTGAAGGGCGGGGTATAAATCCAATCTCTTCTCTACTATATAAATAAATAGATGTCCCTAAAATGATCCCTCCTAAAAAAGCTAACAGTAGAAGCAAAGTTTTCTATTACATAGTGATCAGTATACAATAGACATTGTAGACTACAGAAGAAGACCGGGATTTTACTCCCCGCCCCCATCAAACTACTAATCAAAGGCTCAGATAAATTTACCACTCTTGTAAATCCATTGAAATCAATGGGCTTAGTAAGGTGTATGTCTCCTTAGGAATGCACTGTTATATCTCCCCCCCCCCCCCCCCCCGTTCACAATGCTTTTATAAGCTAGGAAGTCACACTTTTCCAAAAGAAGGTGTTATATCTCCAATCCAGCAGGGCCATTTAAAATTACCTACTTGCCTTATCCTTCCCTGTCTAAAAGATCCACAAACTCATAACAGCTATAGCTACTGTTGTACTAAACTGCTGTGAAAATCACTGGCTTTTTGAGTTTTTCTCTCCTTGGGGAAAAAAAAGAGGCCAAACTCCTAGGCGGCTCTGGCCTGAAACAGGGGAAGAAGCGAAAGCCGGGTGGAATATCATTCTGAGCTAGAGGAGCAAATCCACCCCTGCTGTTCCTACCGCTTCTTACCATTTGTCAGGCTAGGAGCTGCAGTTTCTAAAAGTAGTCAGCAAGTCCACCAGTCTCCTCCTCTGTCCCCTTGAAGCGCAAAGCAGCTTAAAAGGCAATATTTGCCAGTGCAGCATTTCTTTCACTGCCACTCGTCTCTGCCAGTGAACAAGTTAGCGCACTTTCACCAAAGCTCTCCCCACATGCAGTGTATCACCTCTCACACTCAGTGGATTTGTATACCCTGGTGGAAGATGACCCCCCCCCGACCCCCCCCCTGCTTTTTGTAGAAAGCGGGGGGGGGCATCATGCCTCTTTCAAGAAAATGCAGTAATGCTACGTTTGTGCTTTGTGGTAGAGATGGAGCCTTAACTCGACTGGTCTTGAAGAAAAACTTTGCAAGATGCTACATACAATGTTGTACAATGCTGTTCACTGGTGTATACATCTTCTGGCTCTATCCCCTTAAGGGAGGGATTACTGTAAGAATCTAACAAACAATTTCAAGGACTTCTATCTGCCAGCAGTATAAACTTCTTTACAAAACATTCAGTACCTTGCTTATTAATTCAAATAGCACTCTGCATTGTCTAGAATTATAGTGACACCTTGTGGTTTGTGGATTGACTTTGTTGGGATGGTGTCTTTTTAAACTATATATCTGTCCTTCTGAGGTACACAGTATGTTCTTTAGTAGTACCCCCAGAGCCTCTCTTATTTTCCAGGTTTACCATATGTGTAATATGCAAATAATACTTTAGCAAGTCAAATAAAACAGCTTCTCTTTACAGTGGGGAAACTCAAGGGGTATCTCTTGGTAGGTCTTGATTCTTAAAAGCAAGCGTGAGTGCTGTATAGAGACTTCACTACAGGGTGTCTTATGCTAGTCCTGAAAGCCCAGGTCTGTTCTATCTCCATGTGGCCCAATTCTTACTGAGTTTTTAATGTCCTGCTAAAGGCAGTCAAGGGTTAAAAAATGCTTTATCCTCTTGTGGAATGTCATGATGGTCTCTGAAGAATGCAGGAATCTGTGATGCAATGGGGGCTATCTCCAGTTCCACAACTTGATGTTATCTCCCTTGAAGATGAGAGCAGACAAACATTATTAAAATATAGTTGTATCTGTATGTGTTCATACATTTTTCTTTCGTGCTTCTAATAGACTTGCTAGTTTGTAGTGCCATGCTACATAACCTAGTACTTCATGTGAGTGCACCTGAAAAGAAAAAAAACATGTTAACCCTTTTTTAGGACCAAAATATATGAGACATGAGGAGATCTGGGATCAAATTTTTCCAACCAACAAATTTTACCAATAGCTGCTGTGCAAGATCCTGATTTGGATTGAGGCTAGCTATATGAGGAGGAAAATGTGTTTAACCCCTCCACCTATACAAGTTTTCAGCAGCTGAATTTTCCTCAATTTCTCCCCCCCCCCCTTCCAGGTTTTTGGATTACATAAAACCAGCCCTGTAAGGTCCTGTGTTGTGACAAAATGCAAGTCACTGATGCCTGCCAAAGTTAGTGGCTTAAGCAAAAGAATAGCAAATACAAAGAAGAAAAACCATCACAATGCTGAAAACAAGTCTGGACAGCAGGTGACAATTAATGAACTGTGGAAAAGCTTCCAGTTTAGAAGGTAAATCAGTTTTGAGTATTGAGACAAAACATCTTTCCTCGAATAGATTGTACTATTTGAACCAGATGACTGCCGAAGGCAAAGGATGCTGTTAGTGATCACTTGGCATATTGTTAGCTTAAATGGCTTTTCTGCCAAAGTATTGCCAATGTTGCTTGTGAAGCACAAATGCTGATGTCTCCAGAGGGTCAGAATTGTTGCGGGCTGAGCTTTCCCATGTTTTGCTAACGGTAGAAGATCTAATAAGAATGTGTATAAATATTGGACAGGCCTTTTTCTTTCTAACCCGAGTCCTTGGTAAACACCCTTGGGATTTCCTCACCCCTTCCCTTGTTACAGAAGTGGCTAGAAATAAACACAAGAAGCAGACTTTGTCTTCCCGGGTTATAGAGCATGCTTCACGAGCAATTTTTAAGCCAAGTAAAGATTTTGAAAGATAAAGGGTTTTTTTTGAAACAAAATGAAACCACTCGCAGTCGCTATCAGACTTTTCCCTTCCCTTCGTGAGGGCAAATCATTCTTTGGATGGACTTTCGTATTTCTCCAGTGAATGGGTTCAGAATTGTTCCGTCTGGGAATTTTGTATCCTCTCTTTCCATACAGGCCACAAATATGCAGTGCGGGTGAGGTTGCCAGCTGCTGTGCGGGGGATCTAGCACCTGATGACACTCAAGGCAGCTTTTTGGGCTTTGGGCGGCGCTGTTAGGGGCCTCCCGTCCAAGTGCTGCAGGCGGTTTGCTTACCTGCCTGTCATGAGGTGAACTCTTCCTTTCTACCGCAGGCAGAGAGAAGGGAAGGCAAACAATCCCTTGCAGCACAGAGGTCGGAGTAGTGGCCCACTCTGAGGAAAGGCCGTGGCTCAGTGGTAGAGCACTTGCTTGGCTGAGAATATTTTTAGAACTCTTGAGGCACCCTCCTTTTGCTCTGATCATTCTCTTACCACTCTCACAATGATTTTCACCCTCTTATGTGCAAGTACTAGACAGTAATAGTTTGTTTTTCTTTGATTCTGCAGACAATCTGAAAGGCTGCCTTCTTGTAAAAAACCAGAACCATTGTCTCCAATAAAAGATAACATCCAGCTCACTCCAGACACAGACGATGACACTTTTAATAAACTTGAATTCAGTCATGTACAACGGAAAATATTTCAGTGAATTGAAGTCACGAACCTGAACAACTTTATAATCATTGGCCAACAGCACCCTCTAAACAGATTTGAATGAACTGTTCACGGACAACGTGAATCAAAGTAATGCTTGTATCTATTGGGATATGAGCTGTGTATTTTAGAATTCATCAGATATTTTGTCAGCTTCAGTTTTGTAAGAAGCAAAATATTTAACCCAGCGAAAATAAAATCATTTGTATACAAATTCATCTCCCGATTTTGAAAAAGAAGGCAAGTGTTTTCAGAAGATAGACTGCAAAGCTGATAATTGAAAGATTTGAGTTACAAAAGTTGTGGTTATTACTTAGGGTTGGGTCCTACGGATTTATGAACCTTTTCTGCTTGTATGAAAGGACCTTCCCATTCCTGCAGCAGCCTCCTGAATACCAGAAAGCTTCTGTAGAGATTTGGGTACCTGCAGCTTTCCTTTGAATTGTATGGCACTTTGCTGATGCCTGGCTCCTTGATACAGCTGCTGCACCTCCCCCCCCCCAGTTGCTGAGAGTTAAGGGACCCTTGGGTACAACATGGAATAGGGTGTTCAGAGGCTGCTGTTCAAGGAGGAAAATCTGCAGATATCCCTCCCCCCAATGAGCAGAAGAGCCACCTGCTTACATAAGGGCCAGTTTGGATTCAAGCTCTTATGTCATTCAAAGAAGATATGGTAGAGCTGGTCCGCTCTAAGAACAGTAGTACAGATGACGAGGGTCACAAAGGAAAAATTATGCTCTATTTTTCACACTTCTGTGTATGTCAATGTGATATGAATCTTTAAAACAGAACAGATCTTTGCCTTTGAATTTCAGAAAATATTTGATCTTTGGAAAGGCTGAAAACGGTAATGTGTTGATGCGGGGGGGGGGGATGGTGGTAGTTTTCCCCTCCTCTTTGCTCAATGTATCCACTTGGCATTTAGCAACTAATTACATAGAACCTTTCCATCGAGCAGCCTGCTTGCCCAGCTGCTGCAGAGATGAGAACCTGATGGAAACTGTGTGTATAAAGCATTCAATCAGATAATGCCTAATTATCTGGAGAGGAGACAGAAGGTAACACTTTGAACACTGACATATCAATATGAATAATTCAGAGTAGCCATTTGAAAACAGCGAAGGATTTGGCTTATCCGAAGTAATGTAAAGATGCTCGCGTGCATACTAAGTTTATATTGGCACCCCAGGCAAATATTTGTTGAATCTATGAGTGGCTTTGTTACTTCTTGATTTAGTTTTTACCCTCTTTGGAGAGACTCAAGCTCACTGCAGCTTTTGGCTGCTAGAATTAGGAAACCCTCTTCCTTCTTGCAACACAAAAGGAATAGGCAGAGCCACTGGAAGGTCCACGGCATTTGCTGAGCTCGGAGCAAGTCTCTAGCCGACACTAGCTGCTGGAAAGTGCTCTCCCGCCATTTCTCCACTAACTAATAGAAGGAGCAAAGAGTCTGAATCTTCACTTTGTACAAAAGTGATGGCATGTGAATTGGCTCAGGGTCTTACCATACTGGACAGAAGGGACTTGTGTTGTAAGCCATTTCTAATGTCCTGCTTATGAGAATGTTTGCCCCTGTGCAGAACAGTTCAGGAGCTCTCCGCTGCCCACTTACGAAAAGCAGATAGAAGTCCTGTAATGATTTAAGAGTTTGGACTGAAGCCCAACCTGCCTCTGGTCCAAACCACGCCGGCCAGACGCTCATTCTCATCCCTGTCTGGATTGTGTGATAGTACAGACAGAAATGACAAATACTGTTTCTTTATGCACAGACTCTTTCCTTGCACATCTCCATGTTTATACAGCTGGAAAAAGCAAAAACTAGACAACCCTCATGCTAGCCGTTTTTACCAATGTTTTGCCGAATGCAGTTATTACAGTCACAAATTACTTTGATAAAATCTTGGGTCCAAGGTGAAAGATGGAGTTGGAGATACCCAAGGTATGCACTGCTGGCACTGCACAGCCAGTCAAGGCAATCTTGGCCTCCTACTTAAATGTTCTGCTTTATCTTTCTCTGCACTCCTCCCATCTCTTCTTTTATTTATATCCATCTATAAATAGAGATGAACACACGGACACACACAGCCTGTCTCTGTTTCAGGAAATAGCTGACTTTGTTGCTAAACTGATGGATCGGGTTAGAACTAGTGATGGCAGTGACTTTGGCGAGTCACTCCCCTGCTTTGAAAATCTGTTGCGTTATGAGCCAAGCCCAACCCCAAATTCTCTGACGTTCACACTGGCCTGTAAGACTTTATCACTACTCCTTCCCTGCAAGTGTTCCACCTCCTTCCCAAATGAATTTACTCTTGTGAAAGTGAAGATAACTGGAATTTGAGAGGGCTCACTGGAGATAGCAGAGGCTTAGTGGATCTCGCCCTTAAGGACTAGGTGCCCCTGAGCACAGTCAAGAGTAGCGTTTCATGTGAGTGCTTCCTGATTCCATTAATGGGTCTGGGAATCAGAGAAACTACAAGTCCTAGGCAGCCCAGCAGGAAAGGAACTCCTCTGGACTTGGTTTTTGTTACTCTTCTTTGAAAAGACCCAAGCTTTTTCTGTGAAGAATACTCCTAGATACCTTACTATCCTCACAAGTCAAGAATTAGCCAATGAGCTTTCAGGTTTCTAGATAGATTTGAGCTCTGCCATCTCCCCTATAATTAAGCACAAAGGGGGGATAGGTTAGGAATCACTGCCCCCCATGTTGTCATACTTAAATGCATTCTGTATCTATGGAGAGCTTACTGCTCGGTTATGCCAACTGAATGAATACTGGACTGTCCTGGCTCTCTGAACAGAGTCTGGGGAAGATCATCCCTTGCAAATGTTGGCGTTACCTGTCCCTTTTTAGGAATTTGCACTAGAGCTTGGATTACGTCCTGCAAGATGCATAGCTTTATTGATTTTACATCTAGGAAGGCAAAGGCATTCCTACAACCATCGGTTGGCAATGACTTAGCTTTGGATTTCCTGCATTAAGCAGGTAGTTGGACTAGGTGGCCTATAAGTTTCCTTTCCACTCCATGATTCTATATGAGCAGACCTATACATGATGCAGAATGAGGTGGAAGAGGAAGGTAAGACTACTAGAATTTGCTACTTCAAGCATCTAAACTTATGCATCCCCACATAAGTGAATATTGGCTCTGACTTCTTATTTAAGGTGTTTTTTTAACGGGTTGCCAGAGGTTATTACTGTACAGAATCTTTCACTGGTTGCAGATTCAATATATGCCTTCCAGGAATTTGCTTGCTTCATAGGAAAGGTATGTTTTTACTTTTTTTTTTTTAGAGGACAACATGAACATGTTTAGAGGGTGTGTTTATTTTCATTCCCAATCTTCAAATTGCCAGCTGTACATAAGTAAGCAAAATTTCTACAGACACTCTGGTAAAGACCAAGGAATTATTGCAAAGCTCACATGTTTAAGAATGACCACTTTTAATTGGTACTTGAGGTTGCTAAGCAACCTGCAGTTGGGCTGATCTTAATCACAGTGTAACTGGAATGTGCTTTGCTGTGTCTAATATCTTGCAGGGATGTGCAGGTCTTCAAAACATTCCTATTTGTGTTGGATTAGAAAGCAAGCTCATTGAGGTCAGCTGCAACGAACACATCCATCTTGTCACTAAGCTATAAACATAATGTAATTTCAGAGGCTGCTGTGGGTCATCACTGAATTGCTTTTGGTTTCCTGTGTCTGAAAAAACAGTCTGCCAATAATAAATTTCTTCCAACAGGAGAATGATGCTGAACCATATTAATGTGTGTGTGTGTGTGTGTGTGCACAAGCACATATAGCTGGGTAGGATCCCGCCGTGCAATAGAAGAAGAGTTTTACTTAATGCAGTTCCATTTGCACAAGACATTGCACAAAAGCTACAAAAAGATCAATAATTTCCAATCAGTACAGCTGTGTAGAGAAGGCTATTGATGCAGTCATTACAGGGCAATGTGGAAGTGTGATAACGATTTGATCCAAGAAGATTATGGGGGGAGGGAGCTGCTGACATACCTTGTGAGCTGCAAAGTGCAAGGGAATACAGTCAGCTTGACTTAACACGGGGACTTCTTGCAATGACTTTCTCTGCTTGAGAGCTCTTGCGTGTTCTCTGGGATCCCACTGACTGATTGACAGTAGAAGATTCCAGCATCTTTTCTCCCTGTTCAGTGAGGATCAATCAGATCCAAAAGGCGAATGGGATGCTGAAATGGGGGGTGAGGGGGGAGCAACCTAAGGGCTTTAACAGTTAACAACCAACAGATGAACAGGGGACTTGGGGTTTGGAGGGAGAAGGGACAGGAGGTATCCCAACTAGGCAGTGAGTCCAGCACAAACTGTAGTGTATAATTGTTGACTGGGTTTGAAGGCTGTTCCTCAATAAAGAAATTGTTAAAGCTGTCTGTTCATTGTCTTTAAGTCTGCTGGTTTTAGGTCTAATGCTGAAAGAACCGACATTGTAACCATTAATTACAGCACACCTCCCAGCTCTGGTAACTCAGCTATCAGTCTAGAGGGAGAAGGCATTACAGGTCACATTTATCAACTTAATAAAACATATCTGTTCGCCCTCTGAGATGGAGGACATCTCCATGGGTTATTTCCATCATTCCTTTAGGGAGGCAGGAAACACTTTTTTCCCCTTCCTCTTGGCGCCTTGGGAATAGCCGCACCCTCAGTTCTATTCCTGCCTCTTAGGGAGTAGCAGCTAGGGTCAAGGCTCTGCTTTCTTGACTGAATTCTTTTTCTCTTTGCTACAGTCCATCAGTGGCTATTAGCCACAAGGTATAGATAGGGACTCTGGGGCAAGTGATGCTCTGTCATCTTGGTGCTTGGGGGGTCAACAGTGGGATGGCTTCTAATGTCCTGGCCCCACTGGTGGACCTCCTGATGGCACTGGTATTTCTGGCCACTGTGTGATACAGAGTGTTGGACTGGGTGGGCCTTTGGCCTGATCCAACATTGGCATCTCTTATGTTCTTATGTTAACCTTTTAAACTTTTTTCTCCTTCTAAAATCTCTACTGCTTAATTTCTCTAAGTCTAACTGCCTGCTCATCAATGAGAGTCAAAAGCGGCGAGAGAGCTTCATTGAGGAGGAG